CTATCAATTATCATGCTATATAGATAAAAAGTCAAGGATTTTGCATTAATGAAATATAAACGCAAGGCGTGTATCTTAATGTGCTTCAAGATGAGCAAGCAACCCAAAACACTCATGCTAATGCTAATAGCTGCTAATGTTTTGTTCTTACTGCAGCTGTGTGTTAGCATTCATTTCATGATGAATTTGATAAACACATTGGGCTAGATGGAATGACAGGATGATTTACAGCTATCATTACTGTAGAAACTAATCTTCAGAAGAAAGACTGAATGATTCAGAGCTGCTAATTGCTATGATGGAGTCATTGTTGTCCTCGGTGTTGCGTGTGAAAGCAATTTGTTTGTAAATGGCAAGCAACAAATTTTTTTCAGTGGCCTTTACTGACGTATTAGGTATTGAATTAACCTCTGTATATATCTTTGCAAGCTATAGCTGTCCTATGTACAGTGGAGATAGCATACTGTATAGGAATGTGGAGATACACTAGCATTCAAAGGTTTGAATTAACCTTGATTAACATAATAGCTCCTGTACTAAACCTACATTAATTTAAATTAACTTTTTTATTAGTGCTGTTAAAATTAGCGCGTTAATGCAGCCGATTAATTTCTCCAGTTTAACGGTGTTAAAAATATTTAACGCAGGGGCGGAGCTAGGGTTGGACATCCCACTCATAACTGCTGCTTTTGTCTCTTTTTTATTGACAAGAATTGCGTAGAATATCTTTATGATCACATCAAACTTTTCACATCAACTTTTCATTCAGATTTTTCAGACGCGCACTCCAGTTTGCCTCAGCGACAGGTGCTAGTCTGCTAGTCAAGCGCGGAAACAGTACAGGTGACGAGGAGCATCAGTAGAACAACAGTGAACTGTGGTCAGATGAGATTTTGTCATGCCATATGTCAGTAAAAAACGAATTTTCCTGTCCTGTCAGCCGGTACATTGAGCTCATAGCACGTGCTCTTTAATTGCACGCACAAATACGGCGGCACGGCGCGCACTGCAGCCTGTATCATTTCATATTTAAGCGCATATGAAATTACGAGCATGCGTGTCAAATCTGTATCACATTCAGCAGCTCTTAAAGTAATAGCAGCCAAATAACCTAATAACCCTGCTGCTGTGATGTCTGTTAATTAAAGAACAAAAGAAAAAAAGAGGAAATCAATAA